TTCTCTTTGAGGATTCAATTATGCTCCTATTACAGGTTTGTGACTCATTCAGACTACATGATAATAATTAATAACTTCAAAGATAGTTCAAGTGATAATAGAGACGAACTGTAAACTCAAACGTTTTGAGTTTGAATATTGACAATCCATTGGGCTCACATTATGAAAAATTAATCCCTCATGAATACCCTAGTTTCAGCATGGATGGTTTACTTTTGAATACCCTAGTCAAGGACACGTAAATTAGACCGGACACGCTTGATTATTTAACAAAAAAACATAAAAAATTACCGACTTTACAATTGATTTAGACTTCATTGANTTAGTAAATAAAGTTTATAAGATTATCTCTAATTATGACTCAGACATTTATTTAGCTTTGAGTAAAATTTTGATTGAAACGTTGATTTGATACAACTTAAATTGCTTAAATGTTTATAGAAATTTATCATTTTTCTTTTTCATTTTGTTTCCTCCAAAACTTTTTTCACTTCTCTTTGCCACACTTTTTTCCTTCCAAACCCTTTCCCCTCTCAATTTTCCTTCCCTCCCATTTCGACTCTTCTCCCCATACTAAATCTCAGCCATCTAGTGTTTTATGTTTCAATTTATGAAAATGTTAACATTTACATAAGTGCAAGAGTCAATGTACAAGTCTATCACCACTCTAGGGTTTGGGATGAATCAGTTGTACATAGTTTTATTCATGGATACAGACAGTCTATTTCTGAAACTTCATTCTGCAACCAAACTTGTTTTTTCTCTATGCCCAGCTGGACCATTTTGTAGAAATTTTAGCTGTCGAACGATTGTGTTCATGGGAACTTGAAATGAGGTTTTATGCTTTGAAAGACTATTTTTGGCACACGTTTTGTAGATTTTGAACGAGTACAAAATGTTGACTTACATTTAGTTATACGTTTCGTAAACGAATGAACTCGTTATAACATGATTAATCAATGAATCGAGTATTTAATAAGTTAATTTAAAAAATATATAATACGATTCGTTTATATATCAAATAATACATAATTTATACATGATATAAATTCGATATAACATAATTCATTCATTAGACATGAACCTGTCTTATTTAACACGAATGATCGATGGATATTTTGATCTTTTAATTGCTAAATTGACTTTTTTTTTTTTGTTCTTGTGATAAATGCGTGTTTGACTTACAGCCTTGGAACCAATCTTGAAATTACCACTTTGACTAGATTTGATGGTCGGCTTTGACAAAAATGCATTTTTCCCACCAGAGGATTTTTCCATGAGGTTTCACTTTTGCTACAAGCTGTCACGGGGTCCAAGTTAGGGTCAGTCAGTTGAAAACATATTCAGTGTAATCGTCACGTTAAAATTATTAATTGGCATAAACTGTTCACTAATAAATATACAAATTTGCAAGTGAGTTTTAATAAAATTTATAATTATTTAGTCACATAGTACATAATCACCTTCATAATAAAAAATGAAATCCATTCTATCTATTTTGTTGTTTTACATGATGTAATCGTTACACGTGAATGATAATATGTACCCAAAAGATTTTTATATTATTAATTTATATTTAAAAAGATTAAAAATTGTACATTGTATCTCTAAACAAAAAGATTATATTGCGGTCCAAAATAATAAATATGTTGCTTTGTCCGATTTTTTTGTGTCGTAGTCCTTATATTTTTCTTATTTTTGTACTCAATTATTTATTTGTTACTCAATTTTTAAATGTTTTACATGTAAATTTTATACTTAATTTTAGCAAACCCAGGGAAAATATGATTGAGGGTATAATTTAAAAATTATAATATTTCAAGATAACAATTAAAAA